GAAATGTATTAGTAAATCATCAATTTCATCTCTAAAAAAAGGTGGAAGGCCTAGGCTTTTTCATATTTTCTCGAATTTATTTTAAGCGAAATTATATTAATACATAAATTTCATCTCTAAAAATTATATTTTCTCGAATTTATTACAAAAGAATCTTAATTTGAAGTTCAAAATTCAATTAGATATTATTAATTGGGATATAAAAACGAATTGTATCAACTCTAAAAACTCACTTTTAATATTCTTAATGTTAAACTCCTTTTTTTTTATTTTTTATTTTTTTTTATTTTTATTTTTTTACTTAACATAGGTTTAAAGGGTATACAAAAATTAAGAATTAATGATTTAATGAAGCTTTTATTACATATGACATAAAATTGACATAAATATTATTATCCTTAATAGGTATCACGTTAATTTGAATCCTTAAATCTAATAAATGAGATTTACATTTGGTACATATAGAATAATTAACAAACTTAGTTTATTATAACTGATATAAAATAAATTCATTAATTTTTTTTTAAATGAATTCAATATATGTTCAATAAATTGACATAAATGTTCATAAATCAAATTTAGAAAATAAATATTTTATTTAACATGTAAAACAATGAAAAGAACGAGAGAACCTCTTCCATTTTATTTAATTTATTTCAGTTCTTACTGAAATCCTTTATACATAAAATCACATTAGTTGATCATTTGTTTTAGACATTATTTTGGTACCCAATTGTTTAGGTTATTTGAACAATTCATGCACCATCCATTACATTATTAGAATAAATGTTTGTAGCATGACAATAAAAAAAATAAATATCACAAGTTTATTTTTAGCCATACATAATTAAGGAATAGCAGCTCATGGCATGCAGTTGTATATAAGTTTAAATACATTCTTTTTTTTTCTTTTTTTTTTTTGGTTATATGAATGTGATTTTTATCATCAGAAGACTTTAATAAATCATAAAACTACAGAGATAACTATAATGCTTTTTTATTTATTTGAGGAATGTTTGCTGTTTTCATTATTGATTATAAAAAGTATAGAATATTTTTATTTTAATCTCCAAAACCAAAAAGTAGATCGACGAAATCCAGTAATGAAAANAAACTTCAAAAGCAGAAGGAATAATGGAATAAGATTTTTAGAGAGTGGCCCGTGTGGAGCCGGTCATTTTAATGGTGTTTGATTGAATGCCTGTGAGACTTTGAAGTCGGAAAGTTTTGAATTTGAGTTGTGAGAATATTGGTATTTCTTACTTTTATTATGCTTTTTCGGTATATAAATTGAAATGCCATTGCCAGTTGCCAGCATATAGTAATCCAGAACGTGAAGAACTCCATATAAATTTTGATTATACTATTAATTAGATTCGATAATACGCCTACCTATCTCACATAATTTTCTGTTTTCTTTGCACCTCCCTGATACAGTATAATATGCCTTTTTATATTTAAAAGCAATATACATATCTAAAAAGAAAATTTCCTTCACATTTCCATGCTCCTCATTTTCATGACGTCCAATACACCAACATGCTTCACTAATCCATTTAAATCCTTAACTGAACCCCCGCCTTTAATAGAATCAACTGCTGCCTTACTCAACTCCATGGCTCTGTCCCTCATAACTCGGTTCTCACCCACCGATTCCGCCACCGCTTTGGCCAACTCGGTCGAGTTGGGAACAGTTTGTGCACCCTCGCACACTCTTGTCCCCACCTTCAACTCATCGACCAATAACTCAGCATTCACAAATTGGTCCGCTCCCATTGGCCACGCCAGCATCACTACTCCGGCTACAAGCCCTTCAAGCACCGAGTTCCACCCACAGTGAGTCAAGAACGCACCCACAGCCCGGTGATTCAGTATGGAAACTTGTGGAGCCCACCCTTTTATAACAAATCCCCTACCTGCCACACGATCTTCAAACCCAAGTGGGATCATCCCGTACTTACCCTCCACATAGCCTTTCGTGGGCTCCTTAACAGACCATATAAAATTAACCCGACTTTTCTCTAACCCCAATGCAAGCTCCTCCATTTGATCATTGGTCAACACAGCTTGACTCCCGAAGCACACGTACACCACCTTCCAATCGTTACACGTGTCAAGCCAAGATAACACGTCATCCACAGAAACAGAACTGGACCCGCCTCTTTCAGTGGGGCCAGATGAATCATCATCAGGAGGGAGTAATGGGCCGACAGCCCATACACGATCACTGCCCATTTCCTTAGCTAAATGATCCAAATAAACCCGTTCTAACACGCTGAACGTGTTGATCACGAGGCCCCAACTTCCGATATTACCAAGAAATCCATCTCTGATGAATTCCGAAACCGGGTTTCCTTCAACATATCTACGATAAATCGGAGAAATTTGCCACCAAGGATATTTCGGGGCATTTGGAATTTTCTGCAATGTAAAAACTACCGTAGGATCATCAGCATTCTGTAACTTCGGCATCTCACTCCATAGAGAATAAATGACGGACAATGCCTTTGCCCCGGAAGGTGAAAATACAAGGCGATGAATACCAAGCTCACAGGCTAGTTTATTCGTCCAGCCCAAGAACATATCGGAGATAATAGCCACTGGTGGTGAAGGATGATTTTTAAACCAGTTTAGCAGAGGAGAGTAAAGTTCACCGAGGGCATGCATCATAGTAATAAACAAATTTGCAGGCAGGTCCTTGCTGTTTTCAACGCCATCAGGAATGGAAGGATGACAGGGAAAAGGAAGGACCAGGGTTTTGATGGAAGGGTGGTTGAAGGAGAGAAGAGGACTCAAAAGATTAAGATTTTTTGGGGTGACCAAGATGGTTACGGTCAGGCCACGGGTGGCCAGCTGGTGGGTCAAATCGAGGAGTGGTATCATGTGGCCTTGAGCTGGGTAAGGGAAGACGAGGACATGCGCACCGGTGCCGGAGATTGTCATGGTTGTTTTATCACTGAAGTTTTTAGAAGAATAATTTCTGGGAAAATAGTGAGAGGAGTGGGGAGGAAAAAGAGAGAACCTGTACGCCTCATGGTGATGGTGGTGCTTATTTTGAGGATCATGCATATCTACCAAACAGATAGAGAGATTGGGATTGATTCGGTTGATGACGAAAGGTAAACAAATTTAATGCGGTCGAGAAGGAAAGGAAAGGAGTTAAAGCAAATGAACGGTTGAATTCTAAGGAATTTGATTTGATCGTTTGTGAAGAAGACGGTTGCAAGTAATGGGTTTATAAGCTTAAACCACAGACTTTCTATATATACAGAAATGTATAGAATATATAATACTATTTGTAACTGAAAGAGGAAGATATGAATAATATAAAGTGGTGATACAGATACTCAGCAGAAGCAATGGTGTCGAGCCAAGTAGCAAAAGAACATGCATTATATTGTTGCATGTTAACCATTTGTCAAAAGACTTTTAGTTTCTGCTTCTGTCATCAGATACTCTTTCATTAACTTTTATTTTTCTTTAAAGGCTGTTCCTTAATTATCGTGATAATGTTAGTAAATCAACGTGAGTCTTTTATTTTATTAATTTATTCCTTAATTATTTTTCTAAATTGATTTATTACTTTATTATGGTAATATAATGAAAATATTTTAAATTAAATTTAACATTACTTTATATATTTCACAGTATAGAATCATTTTAACCAAATTGTTATTTAAGTCATCAAACGTATCTAAGACAACCTCCAAGTTTTGTGCATAATCAATTGAATAGTAATTTCCCATTTCCATATAGGTTCACCACTGCAATAAACTCCATAAGGTCTACTTACAAAGGGATAACAATTTGATCCAAGTGACACTTTAATTTTATATAATTTTTTCATAACGACTCAGTCTCTGTTAATCATAATTTGTCTCTAAAATTTGCTAATGGACCTAAAACATTATTGATAAACACTATAACATTAAATAATTCTAAAGATTTAATTTATTTAACCGAAATCTTAGAGATGGAAATTATTATTTTTGCAGTTAAAATTGGAACCTGTACTGCTCATCAAAGCTAACTAAAATACCAAACCAACCATATCATATTAAATGGGGTAGGCAAGGCCCGGGCCCAATAGGATTGGTCCCAATTCTTCAAGGACAGGCCCCAATTTGGCTGGGACCAGTCCAGGCCCATGAAAATTCACAGGGCCCAGACTGGTCCCTAGGACTGGTCATGGGCCCAATAAGGACCGGTCCTAGGCTTGGAATATTACTTTAGCCGCAAACCCCCCCCCCCCCAATTTTTATATCTTTTTAATCGAAAATTATGTAGGAGGTACTTTCTTCAGGAGGTGATTTGTAAGTTTTTTTAATTAATATTAAATAAATATACATGAATGATTAATTGGTATAAATTTATATGATTTAATTTGAAGAAATAATTTAATTTTAACATAAAATAATATCACACTTACAATATGCAAATTTAATTTAAACTTAAACAAAAACAATTAAATAGTTTTTTTATTAAATTATAATTTACATCATCAAAATTACATCTTCCAATCTATATTTTTGAAGAGGTTGAGTAGTTCGGATCTTCAGGGTGCTGTTGTAGTCTTCCTCTAATGATTCCAATCCCGTAAACATGTTATGACTTCAACATCTCATCGGTTAAGAGCATCTTTTGTCTTTTAATGTGGCCACTAATGAGAATGGTGACTTAGATGCAATTGTCGCAATTGGCACAGATAAAATGTCACGTGCCATTTGAGCTACAATAAGGAATTGACTTGCATTTTGATTCCACCACTGAAGCAGATCCATCTCATGCTTCTCCTTATTGGTCATGTAGGACATGTCTATTAGTAGGTGTTGCATCTCATTTGGCCCATGTCTACTAAGTTCCATATACATCCACCATCACCGCTACTAAGTTTCATATACATTCAATATGAACTATAGTCATGTCCTAAATGCTGGCCTATCCAGTAACCATGCAACTAAATCCGTTTAATTTAAACCTAGGATCTACAATAAGACCTAATCCATATAAGAATGGAATATCTAACCAATATTTTTGGTATTTCGTTTCCATGTTTGAAACAATATGCATTAAGTCTGGATTATATCTATGTTTAGCAAAAGTTTTAGAAATTTGAAGTAAAATATCTAACGCTAAATTAGTAGTAGGATAATAAATACCACTTAATGTATTAGTAAAATCATAAAAAACTTTTAAGAAATTAATGAAAAATATTGCAAACTGTCCAATAATCATCGTTGACGACTTCGTCCGAATAGTTCTTCCAGTTGACGAACTCTGTAATTTGTGTTGCGGTTGGCATAGCTCTTTTCAACATCAAGTACGTGCAGTTCCAACGGACAGACATGTCGCAATATAACTTCTTTGGTTGAACCAACGGCTTCTCTTGACAACAATATTTTATGTACTCATTCCATGCAATGAATCCGATAGCCAAGCGCACCCTTTCAATCCTCTCATGTATAACTTCTAAACTTACTTTAACAATCAAATTGATGATGTGGAAATCACATCTCTGATGAAAAAATTTGCCTTCACCAAGCAGATTCAAATAAAGAAATTGTCTCGGTGTTAGCATCTTCATTATCAAGCGTTAGCGCCAAAACTCTCTCAGATAATAAATAATCTTGCAAAACTTCAATAATTATAAAATAAGTAGTCTCGGCACTATGTTTAACATATAATGGTTTAAAAACTATCAATTTTTGTTGTAAATGCCAACTATGATCTAGGTAATATATTGTGACCCTTAAAAAATATGTTTTTGATTTAGCAACCTATATGTCTGAAATAAGTGCAATAGATATATTCCTAAAATTTTCAAATTCTTTTTTAAGTTGATCTCTTATTTTAGTCTAAAGTTTTTATATGTCCCTTCTCCTTGTACCTCTACTAGCAGGGCTATACTGTGGACAAAAAGTAGTTTTAATCATATAAAAAAAATGATTTTCAGATAAAGAAAGGGGATAGTCCGTAGCAACTATGTACTTTGTTATTTGCTTTCATGCATGAAGTGCATTGCATTGCCAGATTAAGAGAGTTGAAGATTGTGGATTAAAATTAAATTGAGTTTGAATTTGCTTACCGAGTCCGATTGAAGTTGAACCGGAATGAATACATTGGGGGTGCTACTTCTAAAAGTGCCGCCACATCGTCGAAGTCGCATGCTCAGCGCTGATAATGGTTGAACAAAAATTACATACCCTCACATCTCTTCCCTTTGCCCATTTGGCTTTGCCCGTTTTGATTTAGTGAAGAATCGCTATACCTTGGACACAACCCTCCTCGATGGTCTTCCGTGGTGTCGCAACTCACTTGTGTTTGGCTGGACATAGTCTTGACTATTTTTGGTTATGGAATTGCTACCTCTGGAAAGGGTAAAAATGGATCGAACCCTTCAATTTCTTCGGTGGATGGAGGAACTAGAACATAATACTCATTTGGGGAATCCATTATGAATTTATGATAAAATAATAAATAAATAAAATGGAAGGAATTGAATAATATAAATAATAGATGAATAAATATAAATATAAATTAAAGAGAGTTTGAGAATTGGAGTAGAGAGAATGAGAGATTGAGAGTTGGGAGGAAAATGGATGGAAATAAGGAGTATCTATAGTTTAGGTTTGGGCCCCCCACCAATTTTGACCATTGAGGCAACGGTGCAACTCCCTTTTTTTTTTTTTTTTGGTAAAATTTTATTTTAACCCCTATATTTATTGTCAATCATTTATGGATATTTGCCAGGGGTTTAAATCAAATTAGGGGAGGGGTTTGGGCCCAGGCCTGGAAAAGGGACCGACCCTAGGACAAGGCCCTCCTCCTTGGGCTTGGTTCGGGTTTTGGCCCAAGCCTTATAGGATCGGTCTTTAGGAGGACCGGTCCTTGGTCTGATTTTTGGGTTGGTTTTTTGGGCCTAGACCAAAATTCCCACCTCTAAATTATTAATATGTGAATAAAATACCTTAATTATCCTTATCCTTTCCACCCCTACAAGAACCCCCGTAACCCCTACAATTAATATTAATTTTCTTTATGGGTGCATTTGGATCAGGGGCATATAAGATAACGGGGATAATCTTCGTTTATTTTGCAAGATTTCGGTGTTTGGTTTGCAAGTAATAAAATATGAAGGGTATCGTTTATTGCAAATAGTGTTTATTGTCATGAAGTGGCCATAGATCTGGTCATGAAGTGGCCATAGATCTGGCCGTGAAACGACCATGGATTTGTGATCCATGGCCAGAAATGGCTTTGCCAGTGCACAACCAGCCATATACAGCCAATCATGCACCATTTCGTCGATTGCCGGCAGTGGTGGCTGGCTGCCAACAGTGGCTTGGGGTGATTTTGCTACAAATTAAAGTTTATATGACTGGGGTGTTTTAGCAAAATTTCAAATATAGGGGGTTAAAGGTAATGATTCAAAAAATAATATTATATTAATATTTAAAAAAGAGGGCAATTTAATAATCTATATAACATATCCACCTATTTATCCTTTCAACCAAACACATTATTCACCAATTTATCCGAACCAACCAAACACATTTTCTAAACATTCTCAGTAATCTTCAAGGTGATCTATTTTTCTGTTAATATAACATCCCTCTATAAAAAAAATTATATGATCTAAACGCCCCCTATAAGTTATCAATTTAATATATAATGTTCATGAATTTTGAACAGAAAAGTTTTATTAATAAAATTCATGAATTTTCTATTTATTGATCCTTAATAATAGTATGGGATATTATTATAAACTACTCCTTAGGTTTTAGTTTTTATCACTTAGACTATAACATTTACATTCCAGATTTTTATCACATTATACCCATGAACTTTTAATATTGTATCATAGATACCCGTCATCAGTCTCTCACTAGTATGACCCTTTATAGCAACAATCTTTTAGGTTCCATTCTATCATCTCTAGTTGTTTGAGAAATCTCAAATATCTTTATTTATATACGAATCAACCATCTAGCTCTATTCCCATAGAAATAAGAAACCTAAAATACCTTGTTGATTTAGGCTTAAGCAAAAATCATGTCATTCTCTTTATAATAATTCACTTTCTAGTTCCACTCTTCCAGAGATAGGAAACTTCTCTAATCTTGTTTGATTTTACCTAGGTGCCAACTATTAACTGGTTCAATTCCTTCCTCCATTAAGAAACTACGAAAGCTAACAGAGTTGTACATATTTGAG